GTTTCTGCAAATCGAATTTGCATTCCAGGTTGGTTCATTCCACATAGAAGAAAAGATGGAGATGATTCACGCTCCTTAACAATTTATATATACATATATATAATTTTCTTTGAATAAACATTATACATAAAATTTTTTGAGTATTTTTTCGGCATGGAACACATTATCATATTCTACATTAATTTATATGGGAAAAATTGTTGCACTTAACGAGCATTTCACATTATGAGTAAGATTCTGGAACGAATTATGCCCGTTAAGCGAGGTTCCACTGTAATTGGTAACTCTTTTTGGTGGTTGGTACCCCTGAATGATTACATATTCTCTCACAAGGATGCATAGCAAGTGGAAATATTAGTATAGTCTCTTCTTGGTAAGGTGGAGGTTAAATGAGATGTATCTCCCATAATCTGTGTGAAGGAAAAGGGGATGATGAGGACTTGAGAGATGACAGTACGGAAGTGAAAGGGGTTACTACAAACAGGAAGGGGCATAGCTGCAACATTTTCTGCATAGTTGGTCTCTCTAGTCCCCAAACTGGCAACATCATTTAAATACATTTGTGTGGGACCAGAACTGAGTTTCTGGAGTTGACAGTGGTATGTTGTGGCTGGACTGCTATGCAACATTAGCAGTACCCACTATCTTGAACAGCAGAGTGACTTTTGTAATTGTTGGTGGAGGGTAGGGGGTGGCAGCAGCATATTGGAGATGTTTGTTTTTTGTGTTTGCATAATATCATATTTATTGGTGCAGTTTTTGCACACCATATGGACTGCATTGCTAGACAGCTGTGAGAACAGGGACAGTTGTCATACAGTGATAAGTTAGTTGTGTTTATGGAGCCGTGGTTGTGACGATATGGACTGGATTGAACTGATTCAGGATACTGTTCCTGACTGCCCCATGAATGTTCGTACTCTGAAGATTTGCAGTACCCAACGCCAGGAAGCAGAGTCATTCTTGAGAAGGTCGTGGATATCCACTTAAGAAATTACATACCATTTATTACCACTCTTCAGATGATTCCCTACTGACCCATGTTCAGCTGTGTCACAACCTCACACCTCAGTTCTTTAACCCTTCCGCGACGGATAGTATTTAAATCTTTTCCTACCGCCAAACCGACGGGGTATTTAATTATTAAACAGAAAAATTCTCTTATCCATGAAAAACTTAGTAACTCTCGCAAAAATAGGTATATTGAGATAAAATTTTCACAGAAATATTCATAATGAAACGAAGAACAAAACTATATATATTTTAATATAATTATGATAAATAATATTTTTTTACTCACTCGAACTGCTAAAAGTTGAGTTTGGTGTGGTAATCCTGAAAACACTGNGACGAAGCAGTTATTACGCATAGTCGTGAAGGATATGTGCATATAAGGTAAATCAGCCACCATTTTCCCTCCCACCCCAGAAACATTTCTGTCAGTACTGCACATACAGTTTTTACATCAGAGTTGAAACATAAGAGTGTCCAGATGAAAGGTATCCAAAATAAGAAATCTATATCTCTGAAACTAATTGTCATACACATATCTTGTTTATGTCAGAAAGGATAACTCCGAAAGTTTGTTTCCATGCCTGGCTTACATGCATGTGCCAGCTTATGACCTTTTGTGAGCCCAGTAATGATCTCAGCAGCACAGGAACAGGTTCAGTGCGTGTTGTAGCTAGCAAAGCTGCAATCTCGTAACGGCTGTCCAGTGTTGTTTTAGTTTGCAATGTGGACATCAGCCTCCTGCACGGAAAAGCATTCAGTTCTGGGACAACAAACTGAGGGCTACAGGTAGTCTGGTGCGTGTAAAATCGCCTGGAAAGACGTGGACCTCTGAAGAAAATTTCAGTCACATTAGAGAGGAATTCCAGCAAAGCCTGCACAAATCAATTTGTGCTGCATGCCTGCAGTTACAAATTCCACATTCAACTGTGCACGATGTGTTGCACAAAAAACTCCACCTAAGTGCATACAAGATTCAAATGATTCATGTACTGAAACTGAGTGACCAAGTAGCATGCAGAAACTTTGCTGTGGACATGCTAGAAAGTATTGATGTGTCACCTGATTTCCTGTGCAAGGTGTGCTTCTCGGATGAGGCGATGTTCCATGTCAGTGGAGTTGTAAAAACGGTAAAACTGCAGGATTTGGGGCAATCAAAATCCATGTGTCACATGTGAGTTGGAGAGAGGCAGCATCAGAGTGAACGTGAGGGTCAGTTTAATGCATGACAAGTTGATTGGACCGTTTTTCTTCTCGGAAAAGACTGTGACTGGACGTTTATGCTTAGACATGCTAAAGCTGTATGTGCTGCCCCAGTTACCGCCTCAAACTGTCATCCAACAAGATGGGGCTCTACCCCATTTCTGCCACCATGTTAGAAATCACCTGGACAGATAGATCGATTTGCAGATGTGGACCGTTCATTGGCCTCCTAGGTTGCCAGATTTAACCCCACTGGATTTTTTATTTTGGGGTTATGTGAAGACTATTGTCTACCAGGTTAAGCTCAACAACCTTCAACACCTGAAAGCCTGCATAAGGGATGCTGTGGCTACAGTAACACCAAACATGCTTCAAGCAACATGGAGCAAGGTTGAATATCACCTGGATATTTGTCGTGCCACCAAGGGAGTCCACATTGAAATTCATTGAGAAAAAACTTCCATAGTTCCCCTTTGTAATGGTGTTACCCAGAAATGTGTTTAATAAATTCTTTCTGGGATATAATTATTTTATTTTGGATACCTTTCATCTGGACACCCAGTACAGTGCAACAGCAGTTGTGTGACTTGAGAAGTTTGTATGCATTAATTGTATGCTGGTATACAAACCAGCAAGAAGAGACACTGAGGTGAATAATGTTACAGTTTTCCCCAGTTTCATTTTCAGTGTTACATCAGCTGATTTGATTATTGTAGGAATAAATTAGCACTTACCAGTAATCCATAAAAGGACAGGTTACACAAGCAGAAATATTGACATCAAAGAGAACAAGTGTTTGGACACATTTTGGTTCAGAAATACACAATATTTAGAGCTTACATGTTGATTTATGGCAGCAAAACTTTGATTATGATGAATAAAATCAGAATCACATGTGCAGAAATGAGATTATAAGGGGAACAGGCTGCATTCATTTGGATTGTAAAAGAAAATTAGCCATAATGAAGGAATTAACTGTACTTCCAATCATGGCATTTATAGAATATTAAAGATTTGGTTGGAAGAACCAGGTTATTTGGATGCATCACTTGGGAATCGCGTTTTAAATTCTCCGTTACAAACCAAATGGAAGAAGATCTTTAGGGAGAAGTTAAAGTTCGGGCACAAGCCCGTAGCAAGCCATGCGGCCAATGGGTGTGAATGCTGCTGTTGATGCTGGTAGTTAATGAAGGAAAGAAAGTCGGGCTGTGGGATCACCGTACTCTGTGTGTATGTGCTTTCATGTGTCCATTGCCTCATTTCAGTCAGTTGACCACATGAAATTTCCAGCAGTTAGTAATAAGAGCATGAGAGATGCATGACCTGAAGGGGGGGGGGGTAAGACTGCCACAGCTTAATGCAAGGAGCTGAAGGAATATGCGGGGGGCACCAAAAAAAAAG